GTGTGTGGTGGGTGTGTTACAAGCTTCTCAACACTGTATCTGGCCGTCACTAGCCTTTACCACCCTTCCTTCTCCCCACCCCTCCCCCCATCACCACCGCCACTACCCAACCGCTAATCCCCAAGCCCCACCACCCTTGTCGCTGTTCAGCACTTTGGCAGCACGAGCGAGCGGTTTCGGGACGACAAACCGCGAGCACCAGCGCCGGGCACATATACGGACCCGCGCACCGCCATCACCGTCAGGCAGACGTATGTTCACGCACAGGCACGCACATACCTGAAGTTTGTTTCCCCTGCTTCTTCTCTCTTCGTTCGTGTTGCTCTCTCACCCTCACCACCACCGCAATCATCACCATCACCACAGGTCGGGCTTGAGCGGGCTGCCATTCCAGCAGACAGCGCCGCGCTTTGAGGAACCGCACATCATCAGGTGCCTCGTGTGCTCCCTGCACTGTGATGCTGTTGTCGCCGTGTGTGAATGGCCCAGCCACGCCACGTGGAATAAGTGCCTTGCACTCACACGCACATACACTCACAAGCACATGCACACACGCAATACACGCACACACACACTCACAAGCACACGCACACACGCAATACACGCACACACACACGCTCACTCACTCTCTCTCTCTCACACACACACACACACACTCTCTCTCTCTCACACTCTCTCTCACTCACTCACTCACTCACTCACACTCACTCACACGCTCGCACGCACAAAAACAAATGGCAGGGAAACGCCTGCGCCGATTGAGTACAGCGTGTCGATGCCTGCGGCCAGCAAAGGCGCCACAAGCGCATTTCATTCCACAGCGCGCCGCACGGAGCCTATGTTCAAACGCGACACGTTCATGACGCCGAGTCCCTTTGACTACCAGAGGGAGGAGGACACAACAGGGGCAACCTTCAAGTCTGGTGAGAAGCAGAACTATCACGCCGCGTTTGGTGTTCGGGCGCGGCGTTTTGGCGATTCAGAATGCGACATACACGTGCCACCGCCCACCAAGTATGACGTCAGCGGTGAGCAAAAACACAGACCGGAAGGGGTGCCCAAGTCCCAACCACACCCCGCGTTTAGAAGCAGGACCAAGCGGACACAGCTCCCCGTCACAAACACAGACACGCCCCCGCCAAACTCATACAACCCAAGCCCGCCCAAAAAGCAAGGAGGTGCGTTGGTGCTGGTGGTGGTGTCTGTGTGTGTGTGTGTGTGTGTGTGTGTGTGTGTGTGTGTGTGTGTGTGCGTGCGTGCGTGTGTGTGGGTTGGGGGGGAGAGTGAGTGCGGAGGGGAGGACAGAGAC